TTAATTTGCAATTACGCTTTGGCATGGCATTTTAGCAAAATGCATTTCCACAAATTGTTTACTAGGAAAACAATTTTGAGCTTTAATACATGATCTAAATATAGATTTCCTATATTTCCTATATTTCCTATTTCCTACATATCAGTTTGTTTTCACTTCCTTTATCGTAGAGTGTCCTTGTATGGTTTTGAAATGACCTCCTGACATTGAGCGTTTAAAACAAGGGAGGTGATAGGCTGTGAGTGGTGACCCGTTCGGGTTACTCCGGTACATAGGCCGAATTGGCACTTCGCTGCGGAACTGTGGCATGCGGGCACTTAACCCCTGACCCGGGATATTCTCAATTCCTATTAATTGGTTGTAGAGTCGGACAGAGATAAGAGCGTTCTGATTCTCGACAGCAATAAAATCGTCGGTCTGTTTCTCGTATACACGACACAAAAGGATGTTCAAAAGCATATCTCGAAAGCTGTGAAAAGTGAAACGGATTAATTTCACGCAGCCGTTCAGTGTTCCCCAGTGCAAGACGATCGGCTGATGTGAGGGTCTTTTGTTTTATTTCCTTTCCCGTAGTTTTTGATGTAAACTGTATACACGTACTAATAAAAGTGGCAGAGAATTGAGGAAAAAAGGTGTCATCTTTATCTTGAAACGAAATTGAATTAAATGCTTCATTTTAATAAATCAATCATACTGACCACCCGACGGGAACCACATGGATCACGTGACATGATCTTTGACCTCTGCTCAATAAACTCAATTCTCACACAAGATTATTTCGATTTGATGAAAGAAACAGAAACAAAGTTACAAAGAGGAAAGGTTCGGTGCTAGCTTGGCTAACTACGGTTTGCTTGTTATATAATCACAAAGGCGAGGTATAGTGGTGAATACAGGGTTACAGAGAAAGTTAACTTCAATACATTTGTCTTTTTATTAAATAAAAACGACTTTTTTGTTGTTATATTGAATTAACAAATAAATAAAGGGTAAATAAAAGTTCATTTTTCTATAAACATGTCCGTTTACTATGCCGGCAGACAGGATCCGGTCCAGGAACGGATAAAACATTAGTTTTCTTTGATTTATCGTTGTTGATATCATTGTGTTACATTGTTAGTCTCCTTCCTCATTATTTCTTTATGAAGCAGAAAAATTCAAGAAAAATATTTGTGAAACCATAAAAATACAAATATGTACAAACTATTGAAAGAGCGTATAATACAATATTGTGTGCTTTATAATTTAATGCACACCCTGACTCATATTTAATGGCTGCAATAATTAACATTCATGCTCCTTAAGGTTGATGGCCAATGGACTAACTCAATTTCAAATATTGCGTTGCATCAATAAAGCAAATGGCCATATAAAAACACAACCACACACAAATACCAACTGAAATATTCTAGACAAGACATAAAAGGGCTTCATCATGTCGCTCAGTTGGCAGTCCAGAGGAAGAGACAATAAAAGATAAGCTAGATGTGCAATTCAAATAAAACATTATATATGTTTCCGCTAAGAGGGCGAGCACAACCAGAGAAACAATAGGAAAACACATTTGCTAACTAATACTTCAATGCATATTTGACAGCAAGAGTGATGTATCATCTGATCACGGACCCTGCTCTGGACAAACCATTTCCTCTGATGACAAGGACGGTGACCTAATAGTCAGTAAACATTGTAATACAATTTCATGGGTAATCTTCTTAAACAGTAAAATATTAAGTTTTCTTTTAATAAATCGCTAGTGTCTATCTCCCACAAGTGCTACACGGGAAATCCACTCCTGACTCCCACTGTTTCTTTCCTAGTCATAAAACCCAGATTCAATTGAGCAGATCTTTTTGAGAGCTGAAAATCTCGTTAACATAGAGAATATTTCTTACATAAGTAGAAACAGCTTGTCAAACTTTTCTGATTCCTAACCAATAAACTTACGATTGCTACATGGCGGACATTTAGTGATGGGAAAACACGGGAGGCTTTGCCGTCTGCTCTCCTTAGATGACGGGTGATTTGGTGCAGTTTACAATGTGTATCTACCGTAATAACTATGTTCTGAGATCTCCAATGTTTATATAAATCCTGTACTTGACATAAATAAGATTTTAAGCTATATATCTTCTAGCTGGGGTTTAGAACCCCTTTTCGTTAGGTATATATTTGTTCCCATACTTGAACTTTAGTATCTCACTATGCCTTTTTACTTTCTCCTGAAACCTATTTGTATCAATTCCTGCTTTATGTGTTCTTAATCTATCCCAATCCATATCCGCTGTATTTCAATTACAAGATCTTTTAATTTCTTTTCAACAACAATTAGCAAAAGTTCATATCATAATTAATTATTAAATAGAAAAATATCAGAATAGTTCACATAATGTAAAATAATTAAGAATTCATAAAAGTTGTTAATTATAAACACATTATATAAATATCACACCTTTTAAATTTTGAACGTAATTTTTAAATGTACCGGAAATGGAGTCGATTGCCGAAGCACCGCTCAGAGAGCCAAAAATGTTCCTGTGGATGGGCATGTCAGCAGAAACGGAAAAAAGAAATAAGAAACCAATCGATACATTTATGTAGATCGGGCTGCTTCCAAATATTTGATAAAAGAAACAATAGAATTGAATACGGACAAATAAAATATATTAGTACGATTTTCTGTAGGTTGGGTCCAATACTCCGACTGACCAGGTAAATTGGTGAAATACGGTAGAACACTATGGGCCAGCCAACATCATGGTTAAACCAAAGTTAACACAGAGAGAAAACCAATTACATATTCTAATCAAATGTTCCATTTATACATTAATTATCGATAATAGGAATTTAATGGAAAGCCATAAATTGATCTGTATTAGCATCTGCAAATAGTTGTAACGATATTTAAATACAATTTTACTCCCTGTTGTATGAGGAGGTATAATTCACATGCTTGATATTGTAACTGAATTCCAATAGGAAACACTGTTGGGGGTCAGTTGTCAAGGACATTCCTCATATTTTCCCTCTTAATATTTACGATTGCAATGATGGAGTGTTGTTATAAACAACTCACATTTCTTTCTAATTTCCACTGTTAATGAGTTGCTAGAAGCTGTACAATAATCGTGAATTATACTCTCACGTGTGTGTAATCACTCTGCATAAAAGCCACCCCAACAATATTACCGAGTGCAATGATCATTAGGAAACGAGATGGGTGGATGGGGTCTATAAATAACCTCTTATCTGGAGAAGTCATAACAAATAAATAACAGGTAACACTTACTTTAATGAGAAATTCAGTAATAAGAGTGATACAGGATAATTTTTGATGAACACGTAGACTTATATATTGTGTATAAGCAAAAGACGCTCTCACTTCCGGAAAATCATATCTTACTCATTTTGTACTCGTTTCTATAATTGTTCCTTTTTCTAATGTTTTTCACTCGTTTCTTCGATTGTCATTAAGGATAAAAAGTTATCTTGTTTATCACTCCTTGTCGGTATGGAGACTTGCTCAGCATTGCCTTCCTCGATACAGATATAAACACAGCTCTCCTTTCTAGCTCTCTACCCTAATACTCTTTGTCTTCTATCCTCCCTACCCCCCCCCCTTCCACCCCTTAAGTCCTAACACGTATCATCCATGGGATTGAGGATGATAATGAAGATGATGTAGTACATATCTCGACAATCAGATGATAAAATAGTAAAAAGTTTCGCGGTATGTACAATCACATAAACATTTTATTGTTTTCCTTCATTTTGTATATCATTGACTTCTCCGTAATATTTCCCCTGACTTTCTTCGTCATTTCTATTTTCTACTCCATTCATGATATGATCCCGATTTTAAATGTTTAGATAAGTTGATGCTTCCTATTTTGATCATTTTGTCTCGTTCTTGGTGACTTGCTGACATGACACTGGTAAAACAGTTTACCCTCTGCTTCGTGTCTCTTTTCTGAAATTATTTTCTTTAATTGTGTCATTGTTTCTTTATTTATTTCATTTTAAAGATATATTAGTCTAAATGTATCTCTTTTTTGCGTTTTTTCTTAAATCTAATTTCTTATTAAATTTGATCCTCCTTACCCCGTTGATTGCTGTGTTTCCTGTATTAATCATACTTGTTGATAAAGAGATTCCTTTCTAGAATTTCCTACCGATTACCAATTACTTCATTTGTATGGATCTGGTCGATTTCCGCTTATTTTGGTTAACCCTAATGACCTTATGTCTACATACATCATTTATACTCTATACATTTCGAGGCCATTGGATACCCACGCTGTGTGTATATAATTGAATCCCTTTCGTTAAATTCTTCAGCTTAGCTTCTCTTACTCTTTTGTTTGTTTTGTTTGTTTGTTAATGTTTTTCGTTTTTTAATTAGGAAATATCTGTTTATTTTCGCTCCACTTAAATACTTTGTACCATATTTCTCCTCTTCCTATTTAGATGTTTTCTTCATTCAATCATTCATCTGGATGTGTCCTTCCTTGCGTCATCTCTCTCCTCACTATACAATTAACTGATTGCATTATCTATTCTATTAATAGTATCTAATAGTTCCCTTTGTTTTTATTAGTTCTCGATCTGCAATAGTTACTGTAGTACTTGTTTGATTTTCCACTTCTCGGTGTGTAATTTTATAATCAGCCATTGAAACTACTAGTAGTTTTATTACGCGGAGTAATACTGTGTCTCGTTATTATCACTATTGTTTTAATGGTTTTTAGGGAATGTTACTGTTACTATTGTTTTATTGAGTCTGACAGAGTATTACTGTGTCTCTGTTATTGGAACAATAAAATTGATTGATCTGACAAAATATAGCTGAGTCTTGGTTAATTGAACAATAGTTTGAGTTGGTCTAACTGTGCCACAATTATCTACGTCAATTACTTTTAGTATTATTACATGTATTTGTCAACATCTCTCGAACTTATGTTATGACTCTCATTTCCCGGAATTGTAGAACGCAGCGGTCTTCATATCTTAATTCTGGGAAACGTAGAGATGGTGTGTGCGTAGTCCTTATAAACAATGATTACCTCTGTCCGAACCATTGTGTCGTCTCTTTGGTTCATTACATCTCTCCTGGCCTTTGTGGCGTCTCTTTCATTCATTACATCTCTCCTGGCCTTTGTGGCGTCTCTTTCATTCATTACATCTCTCCTGGCCTTTGTGGCGTCTCTTTCATTCATTACATCTGTCCTGGCAATTGTGGCGTCTTTTACATTCATTACGTTTCTTCTGACCATTGTGGCGTCTTTTTCATTCATTACATCTCTTCTGACCATTGTGGCGTCTCTTTTATTCATTACATCTGTCCTGACCATTGTGGTGTATCTTTCATTCATTACATCTGTCCTGACCATTGTGGTGTATCTTTCATTCATTACATCTCTTCTGCCCATTGTGGGGTCTCTTTCACTCATTGCATCTTCGCTGACCATTGTGGCGTCTCTTTCATTCATTGCATCTTCGCTGACCATTGTGGCGTCTCTTTCATTCATTACATCTGTCCTGACCACTGTGGCGTCTTTTTCATTCATTACATCTCTTCTGCCCATTGTGGGGTCTCTTTCATTCATCGCATCTTCCCTGACCAATGTGGCGTCTCTTCCATTCATTACGTCTCTTCTGCCCATTGTAGCGTCTCTTTCATTCATTACGTCTCTTCTGACCATTGTGGCGTCTCTTTCATTCATTACATCTCTTCTGCCCATTGTGGCGTCTCTTTTATTCATTACATCTGTCCTGACCATTGTGGTGTCTCTTTCATTCATTTCATCTGTCCTGACAATTGTAGCTTCTCTTTCATTCATTTCATCTGTCCTGACCATTGTGGTGTCTCTTTCATTCATTTCATCTGTCCTGACCATTGTGGTGTATCTTTCAATCATTTCATCTGTTCTGGCCATTGTGGTGTATCTTTCATTCATTTCATCTGTCCTGACAATTGTAGCTTCTCTTTCATTCATTTCATCTGTCCTGACCATTGTGGTGTATCTTTCATTCATTTCATCTGCCCTGACCATTGTGGCGTCTCTTTCATGCATTACATCTTTTCTGACCATTGTGGCGTCTCTTTCATCCATTACATCTCTTCTGACCAATGTGGCGTCTCTTTCATCCATTACATCTCTTCTGACCAATGTGGCGTCTCTTTCATTCATTACATCTCTTCTGACCATTGTGGCGTCTCTTTCATCCATTACATCTCTTCTGACCAATGTGGCGTCTCTTTCATCCATTACATCTCTTCTGACAATTTTGGCGTCTCTTTCATTCATAACATCTCTTCTGACCAATGTGGCGTCTCTTTCATTCATTTCATCTGTCCTGACAATTGTAGCTTCTCTTTCATTCATTTCATCTGTCCTGACCATTGTGGTGTATCTTTCATTCATTTCATCTGCCCTGACCATTGTGGCGTCTCTTCCATTCATTACATCTCTTCTGGCCATTTTGGCGTCTCTTTCATTCATTACATCTCTTCTGACCATTGTGGCGTCTCTTTCATTCATAACATCTATCCTGACCATTGAGGTTTTTTTTAATGTGGTTTGAATGACTTATTATACCTAATGGTTTCTCCGTCATTTTTTTATATGCCAATTCCTTTAGGGAGAATTCCATTGATTCTTATTTTTGCTCTGTTTTCTGTGGGTTTTCCTTTACTGTGCTAAACATGTACGAAGTTAGATAACTCTCGCAAAATAGGATTGGTTGAACTACGCATTTTCAAACTTGTTGGCTGGTATGTCGCAATGTGTATCAGTGGCAGACTGCGAATTAGATTAAAACAATATTAAGATAAGATAAATAATATTGTTCTGTGTTGTGTTAATCTAATATTAAGCCTAAATGCAAATGAACACGACAGATATTTATAGATATGGCGAAGATTCATAATATCCAGTTACTATCTAGAAACAAAGTCTATCTGTTCCGCTATATAATTATTGTTTGTCGTCCATTTTTACCTTAAATGGGAAAAAAACGATATACACATGTATGTACATAAACGTGTGTGTACTCCTCCATACATCTCGAGGGATTTTAAACAAGGCTAAAATCGTCTTCAAAACCAACAACTCGATGCGAAATTGTTATACTGCTGACTATTTAAACTGAAAATAAAACATTTTGTGGCAAAGGGGAAATAACTCTTTGAAAATAAATTACTTGAAGCTTCTATGAAGAAATACATAACTATGAACATTTTATTTTATTAGTAATTTACTTTTTTCAGTTTACACCAATGGTGTCCATAGCTGTTTTTTGTAATTTATGAACTAACAGGGGATCATCTCTTTGAGAAGGTCGTGGACTCAGAAAGTCATGAACTAATTGCGGACTATGTATTTGAAAAAGTCATGGACTAATCGGGGATTGAGTCTTAGAGAAGTTAGCGACAAAATAAAGTGTGATAGATAATTCTGTCAGATCTCGTACAATACAGTACTACGGTGAAGGATATATCGCCAAAATTATTTACTTTAAATCATATCCGTTCCTATAGTATATTGTTTTTCAATAAGATTGTTTTTAATCACCAACTTACTTAGTAAAATGAAACTGGTGTGTCGTGAGTATACCAGTCGTATTTTGTTTTAGGCACCTTTTCCTTATGAGTACCCTGTCGCTTCAGGCAATGAAATAACTTAATAATGTAAATTTGCTTCTTTCGATATAATAACAAATAGTACAACAGCAACAAAACAAGGACAAAAACAGTTCATTTACATCACAGTATGACGGTCGCAGCCATGAGGAAACAGCAAACAAACCGAATGTAATGATTCTAGTCTTAAACGGGTAAAAAGTGAAATAAGCACGGCTATATATATTATATAATAAGATACGTTGGTATTCATACTTTGTTGATAAACAGTCAGGGCAATATCCAAATTTTAAGAAAATAGTTCCAACAGCATACTAATTTCACTCGAAATAAAATGACTGTCCAAAAGAAAACACAGGCAAATATATCTAGCTGTACACTACAGGTGAAGAAAATATGTAGAGCCACAATTTTAATAAAATATCTAAACAGAACCCTTAATAATAGTATTAGTATTTCGATGAATGTATTGAATACTACAGTTAATATTTCGAGGGAACTGGGTAGATATAAGCTACAAACTTGTTCTCTACTGTAGTTTAAAATGTACACGTATATTGTGTGATTGTTACCAGCTAAAATACTGTTTAAACGAAACCAGTTATAAACATGAACCGACAAAATTGGCCCCAATTTAATCTCCAGTTGCACTGTAACATAATCTTAGCTTCAAACCAACCAAAAAACACTTACTCTAGCACCAAACAAAATATTAACATTAAACACTAGCCCCAAACTAAACATAAACATTTAACACTAGCCCCAAACTGAACATAAACATTTAACACTAGCTCCAAACTAAACATAAACATTTAACCCTAGCTCCAAACTAAACATAAAAATTTAACCCTGGCTCCAAACTAAACATAAACATTTAACCCTGGCTCCAAACTGAACATAAACATTTAACACTAGCCCCAAACTAAACAAACATTTAACACTAGCTCCAAACTACACATAAACATTTAACACTAGCCCCAAACTAAACATAAACATTTAACACTAGCCCCAAACTAAACATAAACATTATACACTAGCCCCAAACTGAACATAAACATTTAACACTAGCTCCAAACTACACATAAACATTTAACACTAGCTCCAAACTACACATAAACATTATACACTAGCCCCAAACTAAACATAAACATTTAACACTAGCTCCAAACTGAACATAAACATTTAACACTAGCTCCAAACTACACATAAACATTTAACACTAGCCCCAAACTACACATAAACATTATACACTAGCCCCAAACTGAACATAAACATTTAACACTAGCTCCAGACTACACATAAACATTTAACACTAGCCCCAAACTAAACATAAACATTTAACCCTGGCTCCAAACTAAACATAAACATTTAACCCTGGCTCCAAACTAAACATAAACATTTAACCCTGGCTCCAAACTAAACATAAACATTTAACACTAGCCCCAAACTACACATAAACATTTAACCCTGGCTCCAAACTAAACATAAACATTTAACCCTGGCTCCAAACTAAACATAAACATTTAACCCTGGCTCCAAACTAAACATAAACATTTAACCCTGGCTCCAAACTAAACATAAACATTTAACACTAGCCCCAAACTACACATAAACATTTAACACTAGCTCCAAACTAAACATAAACATTTAACCCTGGCTCCAAACTAAACAAAAACATTTAACCCTGGCTCCAAACTAAACATAAACATTTAACACTAGCCCCAAACTACACATAAACATTTAACACTAGCTCCAAACTACACATAAACATTTAACACTAGCCCCAAACTAAACAAAAACATTTAACCCTGGCTCCAAACTAAACATAAACATTTAACCCTGGCTCCAAACTAAACATAAACATTTAACCCTGGCTCCAAACTAAACATAAACATTTAACACTAGCCCCAAACTAAACAAAAACATTTAACCCTGGCTCCAAACTAAACATAAACATTTAACACTAGTTCCAAACTGAACATAAACATTTAACCCTGGCTCCAAACTAAACATAAACATTATACACTAGCCCTAAACTAAACATAAACATTTAACCCTAACTGCAAACTAAACATAAACATTTAACACTAGCCCCAATCTAAACATAAACACTTAATCCCCGAACTCCAAACTAAATACAAACCTACCCCCAAACTGATTAGAATGTCATTTTGTCAGCATTACGAGTGTGATTGTATGAGTGAATGAAAAGGAAGCCGAGTTGACTGCGAGTTTTGAACTTTAAATTCATATATATATATAACGGACATAGTTAACGCACACGCAAATAAGTAAGTAATTATAACTAAAATAGATCCATGTGAATCCGAAACCCAATCTGTGATATATATATGTCGATTGTGAATTTTCTAACCCCGAGTGATTGTCCACGGTATGTGTTGATAATTGCTTTTTATAAATAAGATCGTATCCGGCTATCGCTAATACAATAGCAGTGGTGTTAATACTACACAATTTTCACCTGGACCCTTTGATGAACAGAGGTCGGGTGAAGATTTTTTTTTATAGAAAATAGTTTTAAAAAGACAACGTATTAGAAACGTATTAAGGGTATATGTACAAACTATGCTGTGTAAAAATAAATTTGAAAAAGGAAGATTTTTTTTTTTATTTTGGTGACAACTGAGCGTCGAAACTGTTTGTTTCCAGCTTATCTCGGGATTCCCCTTGTAAGCAAGCATGCGCAGTCAACAAGCTTGAACGTGTAACGTATCAAAACAAACGTCACTTGACAGAAGAGTGTTCCACTTCCAAACAACATTACATCAAAAGTTATCCACCAGAGAGATAGAAAAATATCACAAGTGAGTACAGGGTAGACACCTTATAGCAGATACTGAACAAAATGGACAGTCGATGCAGTTTTCAGAATGGAAAAAAATAGATAGCAGACGGTAACCTTAAAGACATCTAGGTAGTTGTTTTCATATTTAGCATCAAGGACGCCAGGACTTCGTTTTCTTCTTTGTGAAACCATTTCTAATTAACTAAAATTTGAATTGACATTGTAAAATGGGTCTTGTGGATTTGGTATCTCGAAGGTCCAGTCACAAATCAACCTCTGAAATAGCAGCCGAGAAATATATTTTACGATGCAAACCGGGAAAACCTATCCGATCACAAAAGGCCTTGTTCCGGCTCGACTCGTCAATCAATGAAGTTATTCGGACCCACAAAACAAAACGAGAGCGAGAACATTTGTGCATCGAGCACCATTGCCTTTATTCTGCCCTTCGCCTTTGTTTTGAAAACAGATACGCTCTTCAGTGCACCGCAAGTGACTTACTATACGAAATCCTGCATTGTGAGGGCAGTCTTCAACCTATTTTTAGCATTCTTCTTCCTGGTCACGTGATGAAGTCAAACGTAAACATCAACATTCACACGTTGTATCCACGGTTTTCGACGAAAAATCTTCACACACAAGCGACTCAGGCATTCGAATTTTATCTACACAAAATTTGTGAGTTGAATTATCCGACGGAAACTGGCAAACGTATAATTGACACAGAATTCGACAACTGTGACAATTTTACGCCTCTCATTGCTGCATGTATGAGGAGAGATCCCTCCCTCATACTTTTGCTACTGAGATATGGCGCTGACCCTTTTTGTGCCTCCAGTGACGAGGATTCCCCCGTCGACCCAATTAACAGTCTGATCTCCGGTCTGAACAGCGTGTTCTTGTTTAAAAACAGCTCTGTAGATGAAGATACACGAGCAGCACTAAAGGCAGAGGAAACCAAAGGCCTGCACTGTCTACAACTGATTTTCAGGGCTGTCAAAAACATTCCATTTTCTCAAAATAAACATTTTGAAACACAAGTGGAAGATAAGCAAGAAGAAAAAAACAAGATG